GAACATGGGTATGACATGAGAAGGCCAGCAATCCTTGTCTTCTTAAATCTAGAAGCAGTATCCTATTCAGTCGATTCTATTGCTGTTTGGCGATGCCTCCTCTTTGGAGATGTTACAGGCACTCTCATCATTCACCTCCACTCCGTAGGATAACATCCACCGGCACGTGATGTTCTACCGATATAATTTTCCTGATTTTATCAGTAAAAGTGGTGTTCTTCATCGTCACCTTTTACCACCGTTCCTGTTCGACTTCACGGTCGAAACGCTCACTGCGTGGAGCTCTTTACCGTTGAAGCCCCTGAAGACTTGAGATGAGTGGACGACATTGCGCTACCCAGTTCGGATTCCATTCGGATACAAACTACACTAAATAATCTAGACCATGCAGTCGTGCAATTTGTTACGTGATTTGTACCTCCAAGGTGCAAAGAACTGTTCTAAGACTAGGTGAGCATTGGTTGTTGGTCTGTCCGCCGAGCTTGGCAGTTGGACTGCAAACGTTTCATCAGCAATCGAGGTGATACCGTCAGTGCAGGGTTGAGTGCAATCCGACTGCCAGGCTCGGCGAACAAACCAACAGCCAAGCAGCGCACTCAGGCTACTTACATTCCACAACATTGCTACTAGGTGAGCATACCAGCAAATTTGTTCCTGACATCTGAATCACTAGAGGGGCGCATATATTCTACTTACATCCACAACATTGCTACTAGGTGAGCATACCAGCAAATTTGTTCCTGACATCTGAATCACTAGAGGGGCGCATATATTTGCTTATCTTGGTGGTTGCTTCAAGTCGGATGGCAACGCTGCAAACGAAGTGATTTCCGGAACTGCTAAGGACTGCTTTGCTTTTCTTCAACTCAAAAACTTCCGGTTCTGACGTGGCACTATCCAGTCAGTTGAAAGGTAATGTTTATGACTTGACAATCCACATAGTGTTACTTTTACCGCTGTGGAGGGTGAACACTGTGCACTGAGGACTAAAGGTGCTGCTCACATCGATAGCTTCGGAGCAGTGTATATCCACAATGGCAACTTTGGACATTCGGCTGCACCAGCTGACACACGTTTTTTGACAACAAATCAGCTGCTTGATTCGGCTGCACCAGCTACGTTGAATTGGTCACCTGCTCCCTATGACATGATCGATTGCCTTGCTGTGCACCGCTTGTCCAGACAGGTTCCGATCTACAGACGGAGCATGAAAAATATGTAATTGGGTCCTCACTGCACTGGTGCATGTCGTCTCTATGGTTGTGTTATCAGTAGTTGAAGTACTCACCGACGATATCACGTGACCAGCGGCGCTATTTTATTCGTCCTTTTGTGCTTGGTCAGTAATCTGCAATTCCTTGGTTTTTGTTTGTCTTCTGCCTCCCAATGTTCTGCATTATCAGCTGCAGAAGCCCTAACCACCGTTCAAGGTTGTCCACAGGTGCGTAGACCAACAGTTATGTTGGAAAGCTTGGATGCTTCACAGCCGATGAAGCCCGTCAATCTTGAAAGCAGCATATATATACTAACTTAAGTATAAATTTGCCAGGAGGGATAACTTGAGTACTAGTGCATACACTCCCGCAAATCCAAAGCGTGACTGACAGGGGATGTTGGACTCACCAAGGAAGCGTCCGTTTTTTCACGGGTTACTGCAACAAACGTCTAATCGTCCGAAGTGGTTTTGGCCGCGCCCCCAAAGATTTACTGAGTTTCTTAAAAGAAATTGCCTGTTTGCCACTGAGCTACTGGATTCGCGGTCAACAGCTCATTGCAGTCTTTTTCTAGAACGCAGCCGTATTCACAGCCCTCTACATATGACAGCACAATAGAACTTGCAACCCCTCAATTTTGCATCCCTCCCAACAGGTGTAACTTTTGATCGAGGTGGTCGTTCCAGAAGAGTACTCTTGTGTTATACCACTGTCCAATTCTACTGACAACAGAATTGCAAGCTAAAAAGCGATCCTTTCGGACTGCTTTGTACCAATCACCATAGAAGCAACCAACAGTCTTTCAAGACAGGTATGACCGATCTGTCGACCCGCAGTGCGAATGCTGTTCTAGGACACCCATCGCTTGCCTCTTTGAGCTTCGTAAATATCTATCACGAGCATATCATTAGCATGTACCATACACAACAGTTTAACCCTGCCTGAGGAAATCATGTACCGCTATTTCACTGATAGCAATGCTTTCCAAACAATCTCCGGAGTAGCGAATATGCACTCATTTCCACATTCAGTTGCCTGAGAACATCACAAAAGAAAGATTCAGGTGAGTCTCTCGAAAAACCAAATTAGTTTGCAAATGAGTGTACATTCGCTAATTTCGGGCAATTTGGTTTCAAGTAGAACATAAGGTTGACGGAAACTCGGGGACTGCGCCTACCTGATGAGCCCCAAAAAGGGCGAAACCGGTCGTGGGCTGTCGACGGATCTTCATCAACCTTATGAGTAGTACATTACAAAATCTCCAGAGTACATAGGTCACGGATTTTTTTCCAAAGATATCCGGACATGAACGAGGTACTGAAACTTGCGTTCTTGATATGTAAGTGAATCTACACACCGGATCTAGTGAGAGCCTCTGCTCGTGTTCACCTGGTACAAATTGAGGTAACATCGTATTCGCACACGCAGAACCGTATGAACCACCTCTGGTCGGTTGTTACCGCTAGACTTGCTGGACCTGTGGTCCCGTTTTTCCTGCTTCAAGCTTTAGATCCGTGGAGCAGGCTAATTTGGGCACAAATGAAAGTTCTATCCGCATCAGTCTCGTTTGAACAGTCGTCCTCCTGTCCAGGGCGCAATAACTTTGGTGAGTCCACACAGAAGTAGGGGAAGCACTCGATACAGTACTCATTAGTACTCATCAGTAGTGCGTATCCTCGGCCGCGTCCGGAGTGTGAACTCCGTGCAAGGCGACGGTGTTATCACCAGAACACGACAGATTGTCACGTCTGAACGAAGTGTGTGTGTGTGTGTGTGTGTGTGTGTGTGTGTGTGTGTGTGTGTGTGTGTGTGTGTGTGTGTGTGTGTGTGTATTCACACGAAAACACGAGGTCTCAGCGATAAGAATGTAGGCAAAGTTGGAAGACTTCACGGCAGACAGAAACAGGTGTTGAGATAATGGTGTAAAAATTAACTCAACGTAAGGTCAACATGTTTAAGCAGGACCTGAAGGAAAAGTGAGCGTGCATTAAAAAGTAAACATTCGAATAACCTGACGGATTTTAATTGTGCACGCGAACGAATTTCAAACACCGAGCCAAGTAGTTTTTACTGTTCTATGGAACCGCGTCACTGGTGAGTAAATTTCTCAAAATGCAAACCTGACCAGAAAAGGAATTAACAGCTAAATGCCGGTTGTGAGGTGAGTCAACTACGTGCCGGCCTAGTCGCTCCATGAACGTGCAGCAAGCCCACAGCCTACGCAGTCAATCAAACCGAAAAGACAGTGTGCGGGCCAGACTAGATCGATCGGAGTTGTGGATGCGTGTGGACAATGTTAGACAATTATTAAAACGGCAAAGCAATAATCGATAAGAAAACGGAGGAAGAACAGGCGGCCAATGAGCTGCAAGGCTGTGCCATCGGATGCTACCTCCTTTCCTCTGGGATAATCAATCAGTTTTGTGAGCGTTGTGATCGCTGCAGTGGCTTGCAGAATGTAGGCGACTGTTGACCGTTGCTCGCCAGTTGAGTTTTGTAGCCATTCTATTCGACTGTGCACGCATGCACCTGACTAGCATGTCAACGCACAATCCGACAGCTGTGGGCTAGGAGAATCGATCATTGTGGCTGACTGCCAATTGACTTTATGAGGTGGTCTGGTACACGCTCGTTCAGCTTCAGAGTGTACGGAAAACTGGCCTCGGTGCAGATAGATTACGATGTGTTCTGCATCGCAAAACATCGGCGGTTTGGGTGGGTGGACCAGTGTACCTGGATGCACTATTTGCAGGACCGGATTAGTTCGCACGAGGCCTTTGTTAGGCCATGTATGGATTGGACTTAGAAGCAGATTTTCAATAGTTTGCCTGGCATTCATTCTGGTGGGGCCCAGATGCGCGTCATCACATAGTCCGCGTAGTGTGATCGTGCATTTAGAGGTAACATAAATCAAGTGTGGCAGATACAACTACCCATCCTTAAGTATGAAAACCGATCTCAAGTCTTTGGGAAATTTAGATGTTTGGTCAGTTTGAATATGGGCATGAGCACACCCTGTCGTTTGACGGGTATATTCACTTTCCGAAGATATGGTATCCAGGTATTAGAGCAGACAGACCATCTTCTGTGGATCTGTGATAATCGCTTAAGCAGACAATCAACCAAGCACCACTCAACGCATCAAATATGGTGAGACACAGACGAATAGGCCCAATTTTTTCGTCAAGATCATGCAAACCGTCTTTGTCAAGTAAGTAACCGTGATAGCAAACAGAATCGCGGAGGAACTCACCTTTGAATCACTTTGTTTGGAGTCCGCTATTGTCCAAAGATTCTAATAAAATTGGCTCTTTTTAATAGTCGACGCTCGTACAACTGGAAAGAAGGATTTCGTAAAAGTATGAAAAACCAATTGGCCAAAGTACCAATAATCCTTCACGTACAACCGGTGCGACGACATGGAATGTGCTAAAGAAAACCGCAGTTGAGCGTCTAGTGAAAACGTTTACATCAGTTTGGAATCCATCCTCTAGGGTCTTAGTGAACAATTTTGAAAAGAAACAAAAAACAATGGCTAAAACAAAAAAAAGGAGTGGCTTTCTAAACTGACATGAGTATCCAAACTAGAGAACCAAAGTTCAATGCAGGTTCTTCAATACGTCATCGATGTTGTCCGGCGTTTGTGCTATTGGTACATGAAATGAAGACGCCCGATTTTCAGGCCGTTGGTGGAAAAGCCCAGAAGCCTTGTTGATCATGAAAGTGGCTTGGATTCAGCGAATATACACTTATTTGCAAACTAATTTGGTTTTTCGATAGACTCACCTGGAACCCAGCTGAATCTCTCGTTTGTAATGTCCTCGGGCAACTGAACGTGCTGCACCAAGCCGCCTCATGCTTCAGTCGCTACGATTTTCGAGATATCACGATACATGTATATCTTTGTAATGTACTACTCAGAAGGTTGCTGAAAATCCGTCGACAGCCCACGATCGGTTTCGCCCTGCTCATCAGGTAGGCGCAGTCCCCGGGTTTCCGTCAACCTTATGTTCTACTTGAAACTAAATTTCACGAAATTAGCGAATATTCACTCATTTGCAAACTAATTTGGTTTTTCGAAAGACCCACCTGGAACCCAGCTGAATCTCTCGTTTGTGATGTTCTCAGGCTTGAATTCACACTATCAGCGACTGAGGGCTCGAGATAGCTCAGTGGTTCGTGCATCAGAGCATGGACCTAAAGGTTCATGGTTCGAACCCGACCTCCGCCTATCGACTTCCCTTGCCTAGGCTTGGGCAACCTGGCAGTACCCCAGCCCTCGTGCCTGATTCCGTTGGCATGACAGGTAGGCACCTAAAGGGGGCTACAGCTGAACGATTATTATCAGTGCCTGACGTGGCATCCAAACTATACTCATCATCACCAACGAGAATAAAAATTCCCATGATCCGATGCCGCATTCATTGCAAGGTTGTCCTTCCCGAACTTTCAGAACAAGATACAACATTTCCGCAGTACTCGGTTGTTACGGCTACTTGTTTTCTAGATTTATAGCAATAAACCTCAGTGTATAGGTTTACTGGAGGTCATTGCAGTTGCTAGCTAGGGGAATAAACCTCAGTTTACTGGAGGCCATTGCAGTTGTTAGCTAGGTGTTTCATCACGTGTTGGATCGACCAACCCCATTGCTCAGCGACCATACTGATAACTTGGTCGACTAATGTATATGCCTCAGAAGTGGAACGAATGCGCCACCGGTTTGTTCATAGACCTGATGTGCTCTTTGGAATGTAAATGACCTTGATGTTAACCTAGTCTTGACGTCATTTCAATTCGTAATGCAATCAAAGGGCAGGAGTTGGATCCTGTCTTGATTGCTTTCGTCGATTTTCTCGGCGCCTTCAGTCGTAGGCAACTAGCGTTCATTTCACTGTTGCTATTTTGTTCTCCGAGCTGGGAAAAAGAACTCAGCGATACATTTGAGCGACGCCTACTCCGCACCATCACTAATATTCAACTTCCGTACTGTAACGGGAATCAGGAAGTAAATCGGGTTCTCATGACATTGAGACTGATGTAAGGGGGTGGCTAAGACGGAAGAAAACGAGGAATGTGGAATCAATGGGTGTTTCGCGTATTCCTCCCTGTGAGGTGGCTAACTCGTGTTATCCCGTTTGATCTGACCATCCCCGATAAGCTCGGTTATTTTTTTCGTCACCGCCTTACATGCAGTAACCAGAGAAGTAAAATCTATAATTCCGCTTCAAAGAATTCGCGACTCTCCTGGTTTTCGATATATCGGGCAGTGGAACTGATATACCCCCACTTCGCTTGCCTTCTGTAATCCACTGAACTCTGTGAACATCTGCCCTTTCCACTCCACTTTTATCGGGATTTTCTCACCATTCAACTTGAGGTGTCCATACGTCTGCGGTTTATTCGGGCGGAAAAGAACCGCTGTCACATAGCGCACCATGATCAAACTGTATTCCTGTGGGGGGAACCAGTAGGTTCCTGGTTGCTACGGTGAAAA